AGAAAAGAAAGAACAATGTAACACCGGATTACATTTGACACTGAATTGAAATTTACGTTATGATATTACTGAATTTAATTTAAGATGGCCCCTGATGATCGATCCGCAAGGACAGGCCATTAAATGGATCAAAAACATGGAAACTAAGAAGGTAGGTAGAACTACCCGTGGAGACTTTTTTAAAAGGTGTCCGGTCGCTTTGCTAGAAAGTGGTTTGGTTACTTCCCTACAAATCTACACCGTTTCGCCTGAATGTTATGTGCTTTCTTCTTTTCGGTGTCCCCTCTAAAGCTAACACGAGTTTTCATCATTCTTTCCTTCAGGGTCTTAAAATAATTGACTTACAACAGTCGGATTACCTGAGGACGTTGGAAAACTCCGTTCAGTTTGGTAACCCAGTTTTATTGCAGAACGTACAAGTAAGTGGCTACATTCCTCACTGAATTTTGTCCTTCTCTCTTCTCGTATCAAACTTTTTGCTCGTTGATCGGTTTGCACTTTACTTGGATGATAAAAAAAATACTTCACAAGTGACATTTTTTGGAAAAATACTATAAAATTCCATTGAAGTGATTTCATTCTTTATTTAATTTTAATTTTTGCTTGCAGGAAGAGCTCGATCCGTCTTTGGCACCGATCCTGAACAAATCGATAATCAAGCAAGGTAAGTTGTTATAAATTGTTCAGAGGCCATACAAGCTCTTGTTACAGGTAATTTCAAGATATATGCTACACTCGACCTCGCTTGTATTCCTTGTTTATTCTATAGCCATCTCTTGTACTTGTATACTGCTAAGTTAATCACATCAATCTAGAAACGAAAGTATTCTAGGATTCTACTTCCCTACAACCCCTATTGTTTGGGACTTTTTGAAGTTTCTAAATCTTTATTCAGGCCAAATGTTGAGATTAATCTAACACGTTCAATTTATACTTTATTACGTAGTTGTACTTAAGCCTCTTTTTATTAAAGGATTTTTTTACAAATGTCATTGACAACCTTCTTGATACAAGAGTACATAGTAAAACATTCAAGAAACTGAGTTTCTTACCTTTCTTCCTTAGGTGGTCGGTTGCTGATTCGGCTTGGCGACAAAGAAGTCGAGTACAGCCCTGAATTCCGTTTCTACATTACAACGAAACTGAGTAACCCTCACTACACTCCAGAGATATCTACCAAGACCACAATTGTGAACTTCGCCGTCAAGGAACAAGGTTAGCTTTTACCCCTTTTTAATCCTTGCGAAACGTGAAAAATGAATTGCGTTTTTGTTTTATAAAAATATGCACGAACCCTGTCCAGATAAAGCCGTTAGTTATTTACTCTTGAAAATGTTTGCATTACGATTATTTGCCAACATGTACAGCTCTCGAAGACAATCGAAATCGAGCCGTCGTCTCTGTGTGAGCCCGCACGCATTAGCAGTTTCCTTTAAAACTTAGGTGACGCATACAATTGCGTCATCCTGACGGAACAATTGCAGTGCACGCGCACTTGTCGTTTGCTTGAGTTAAAAAAATCCGCAAGTGTTGCTAGCTTTTCCGTTAAGATTTTCAGAACAAATGGCTTTCACCTGTGTTAATTAACAACTAAACTAAATGATGCGTTTGTATCTGTGAAACGCAAACCGAGCGTTGGCAAAAATTTGAGGGCAAACAAACTTTTGCCTGTCCGACACTTCAAGGTTTGATTGTTCTATTTATTACTAAAAAACAGTAAAGACAATTTGTTTTGTGTGTTTTGATAGGTCTGGAGGCCCAGCTGCTTGGTATTGTAGTTCGCAAAGAGAGGCCAGAGCTAGAAGAGCAGAAAGATGCCCTTGTAATTAACATCGCAGCCAATAAAAAGAAACTTGAAGAGTTGGAGGATGAGATCTTAAGGTAAACAGTTTCAAAAACGCGCGCAATCTTTAAGCGAATTCACGGAGGCCACAAACCTTGTGAATAGCCAAGTTATGAAAGAAAGGGAAAATTTGCATTAAAAGACTGACAAAGGAGTCGTAACTTGTTTAATTATTTAAACAATCGATTGGTTGATTTAAAGTACAACTTTGAATGTGATTGGCTTATTGAACTGTCCGATAACAAACTGTGCGACAACAACTTGGCAAGTGAATTAGTGGAAAAAAGGAGTTTTTTAAACTAATCACAATCGAGGAAATTGTAATTTCTATGATTAAATGCGTTATCCATTAAAACCCTGCAGGAGTATAAGAGCAACACGTCTTCTAATAATCTCAAACCAGACCTTGAGTCTAAAGTAGCTCAGGAAGGAGTATCTTTTGTACAAGATCTTTATAGAAAGTCAGTCTCTTAGTTTGATTACTTCTTGATCTTTAACTAAAGCATTGATCACATGGACACTTTAAACATTGCTTTTCCAAGTAGCATTTAGAGCGTCTGTCGTACGTGAGCCTACTGTTGTTCTTGCTCGCCATAGAATTATACGTAACTCAGTGGTAGAACATCGGAGCGCGGAATCCGACGGTCTGGGGTTTCGTACCTTATGGGAGCTCAGATACTTTCTTCGTTTAACAATCGCAACAAGATAAATAACATCTCTCTCTATCCATGCCTCACTTTTGGTCAGGTTGTTGCAGACAGCTCAAGGCTCATTACTGGACGATGAACAGCTCGTAAATACGCTGAATTCGTCCAAAACAACCTCGCAGGAGGTAGCTGAACAACTTCAGGTCAGCGAACAAACAGAGATCAAGATTGACGCGGCCAGAGAGGTACTGATACTGTTCACACTGAGATATAAACGCATTTTTCTTTATTCCCCAAATGTGTTTTTTCTTCATATGATCATTTTTTTAAACTCAACCTGGTCTGTTATTCCTCTGCAGGGCTACCGTCCGTGCGCGCAGCGAGCCTCAATTCTCTTCTTCGTTCTGAATGACATGGGCAAGATAGATCCTATGTACCAGTTCTCTCTCGACGCGTACATCGATTTGTTCAACAACTCCATTGAGAAGAGTCAACGGAGTCCCAACCTTGAGATACGAATTCAGAACCTTAATGACTATCACACTTATGCTGTTTACAAGTAAGTATTTTGGTGATAGGATACTTACTATATCTTCGACCTAGTTTGTCTATTTATCAGTGGGGTGGCCATCAAATGCTGAATGATAAAATCAAAGATGTATTATAATTTCTAGAATTAGGCGATTGGGTGGGTAAAATACCAATTTTGTGCCTCTCGCTTTTCTCGGATGGATGTATAACTGATTGATTAAGTGACTGATCCACGGACAGACCGACGAACTGAATGATGGACTGACCGGCTTATTCATCAATACTTTGAATGACAAATCGATAATTCATTAATTTATCGCTTGATTGATTGAATTAACGATTGACTGAATGAGTGATTGATTGAAGAGTCATCCATTGACTGTTCCCAGCGAATTTTAAAACATAGTTGTCTTCATGTGAACTACTGTATTGAGCTTTTAAACAGAATAACAGCTAACATTGTTCACTGATCACAATGAAATTGGCGCCTAAGCTGCATTATATCTTATTTGTTTGTCAGATACACTTGCCGTGGCCTGTTTGAACGCCACAAACTTCTTTTCTCATTCCAAATGTGCTCCAAAATATTGGAAGCTGCGGGAAAACTCAACATGGACGAATACAACTTTTTCCTCAGAGGGGGAGTGGTAAGTAGTATTGACAGCCCTTTCCCACTTTGTTTTGATTTCCATTTCAATTCGTGTAATTAGGACTGTGGTCCTCCATTCTGAGAGTTTGAGACATATTCAACGACAAAAAATATTTTCTCTACTTTCCACGAGTCGATATTTTACCAGCTTATTTTCGACTATGGTGTATTAAGATTCGCTGAAAAATAAATTTTCAAGCGTCCACATCACTGATCAAGACAATCCTAATCTTTAGAGACAAAATACTTACTTCTGGATCTCAAAAGTTATGAGAACATCAGCAACATCAACATCATTTGCTATATATAGGTACTGGACAGAGAAGGCCAGATGGATAACCCATGCACTCAGTGGCTCAACGAAGCATCATGGGATAACATTACTGAGTTGGACAAGTGAGTTCATAGATACCTAATGAGAAGGCCCTTATAATTGCCCCTCATTATTAGCGCTACAGCACGAGTGTTTCTTCGAAGGTACGAGGCCCTGGGCCGGCGAAAGGTCTGCAAGGAGTCCAGCGCTCATTTTTAGTGCCAGATCCCCGACAAACCACTCTGTGACTCGTCTCATATCACCCCGCTAACGGAAGAACGTGCGTCCTGCAGGTTTATTAATGAGGACTTACTCGCAAGCTAGTTCATTTACCAATAGGAGTCCGAGTTTTTGAGATGTTCTCTCTTTGGTGGCCCTCGTTCGATATGTCAACTTACAATCTGTTTGCTCTTTCTTCTGTTATCAGACTGCCTAACTTCCATGGTATTGTCACATCGTTTGAGCAGTATCCCAGGGATTGGAACATCTGGTACACCAGTGCTGAACCAGAAAACACACCGTTACCCGGTGAGTAAGTTAGAATGAAACGTCTTAAATAAGAAATGTTCGTTCTTTAATGCACGAGAAACTTGGCGACCGAACGATTAACGCGGTATATTTTAGATTGTGCGAACCATTCCAGGTTGGAGCCCCGGTGGGATCGCTGTATTATGTTCTTGTGCGAGAGAATTTTTCGTCTCAATGCCCCTTACCACCCTGGCTGGGTCGTACTATTATGTTCTTGTGCGAGAGAATTTTTTGTCTCAATGTCCCTTACCTCACCCACAAATCTATCTTAATTGTCATTTAGAAAAGATTCAAAGTTACCTCAATATACATGTTAGTAGTTAATCACTTGTCGGATTAGAATTATATCAGAGTTCTTCTCCGCTTTCCTTTTTGGACGTCTTTCAGAGTATCTCGCTTATTGTTTCAATCGCTCTAAAGTGATTCTATTTGTTTCTTCAGGTGAATGGGAGAACGCGTGTAACGAGCTACAGAGGATGCTGATCGTTCGATCTCTTCGCCCCGACCGAGTTTCTTTCACTGCCACATCATTTATTGTAAACAATCTAGGCTCCAAGTAAGTTTTTCTTTTGTATGTTTTTATGAGATATTTCACCAGACTTGAACATACTTTCTGTGCTGCTGAGGTGCAACTATGGCTATTGTTTTCTGCTATAATGTTTTCTCCTCATTCTTAAGCTCCCTTTCCACTGTATTATGTAACGTCCCCGTCTTTATTCTTCCTCGCTTTACAATTGTGCTAGTCTCTCAAGTATATGATGCCTAACTTAATTTTGTTCCCGACATTTTGTTTCCCCTTCTTCTCTCTTTCCTTCCATAACTTGCTTTCCCGTGACACTGATTTTCCTGCCGTTTTTTTATCATCCTTTTATTTTTCCAGCCATGAAATTCCTTCTACGTAATAACACTGCTTTTCCCCCCTACCTCCGCCCACAATAGTGAGTCCTTTCCGCATACCTCTTCTATTTATCCGTCTCTTGTAATCGCCTGAAGGTGTACATGGTAACCTTATTTATTTCTGGTTATAAAACTGGCTGTTTATCTGAAAATTTTAGATTTGTGGAGCCTCCCGTTTTAGACATGGCGTCAGTGGTGGAGGATTCATCAACACGAACTCCTCTGATTTTCGTTCTATCGCCAGGAGTGGTGAGTCGTATTCTTCCTGAAAGTTTAAACATGTTTTGCTTGTTCAAACTTGTTCACAGACCTCCATAATGTGATAGCTTTGTAACTGGTTCCTCCAGATACCCCTTTACGTTACACATTTGTGGTAACCAAATATTCTACTACATTTTTTACCCAGGATCCAACTAGTGCTTTGTTACAACTTGCTGAGAACTCTGGGATGTCGAATCGTTTCCATGCCCTCTCTTTAGGTCAAGGCCAGGCACCTATCGCCACGCGAATGATCAAAGAAGGAGTCAAAGATGTAGGTTAACTTCCACTCCATATGATCAGATAATAATTTCTAATCTTAACTGAGTTATTAAACAAATTTGAATTGCCTCTTGTGCAGGAAATTTATCTTTCGTTTAATACCATTTCTGAAGGGTAACTGGGTGTTCTTGGCCAACTGTCACTTGTCGCTGAGTTGGATGCCTCAGCTTGACAAGCTGGTGGAACAGCTTCAGGTGGAGGAGCCGCACCCGGACTTCAGACTGTGGCTGAGTAGCAGCCCTCATCCAGAGTTCCCCATCTCCATCCTACAAGTCGGCATCAAGATGACAACAGAACCTCCAAAGGTTTGTCCAGTAAAAATGTAACTCGTGATGCAAGTTGACGCACCATTTTTTTTTTCAAACTGTTATCCGCCGATTACTTTCAAGGGCAACCAGTTAGAGCCCAGAAGTATTTAGTTTGTTATCCAAACCTTATTGCTATTTCATCATCTCTCCTCAGGGTCTAAAGGCGAACATGAAGCGGTTATACCAGCTGATCACAGAACAACAATTCAGCCGCTGTCACAAACAGGACAAGTACAAGAAGCTGTTGTTCTCGTTGTGTTTCTTCCACAGCGTGTTGCTGGAGAGAAGAAAGTTCCTTATGCTTGGTTGGAACATACAGTATGGGTTTAATGACTCTGATTTCGAAGTGTCCGAGAACTTGCTGAGTATTTACCTTGACGAATATGAAGAGACCCCTTGGGACGCCTTGAAATATTTGGTAAGTGAAAACTTTTTAACGACAGTTTAATAAGCTACAATGGGCGACACACTGACATTTTTATATATGGTAATGGAACTAGGTGGATTCCAATTCGGTCTGTAATCATGCGAGTGATGAACAAAATCCGACGATTCCGATTGATTTATTGCGAGTATGATTATAGACAGAATTGGAAGACACGAAGTTCTGTTACCAATTAATCAAAGCTGTGAACAAATTTGAGACAAATTATTCATCGGTTATAAGGTGAAAGAACAACCTTGTTTGATCGTCTTTGTTAAAGCCTCACTTAGTCTAGTGTATGAATGACAAGCGAAATTGTTTTGTTGTAGGTGGCAGGTGTCAATTATGGTGGTCACGTGACAGATGATTTTGATAGGCGTTTGCTTCATTCATACATCAATGAACAGTTCTGTGACGCTGCCATTCAGACGCCTTACTACAAGTAAGTTCATGGTTTAATCCTTTTCATATCTAGTATCTCAGTATCAATTCTGTTAACTCTCTGTCATACCGATCCTAAAAATTTTAGCTCCGAGATTATGGTGCTTGCACGGAGAATGAGATTAATATCTTTCTTCTTATCACCTCTTTGTTTGACCTTGTATGGTTATTGAAAGGGGAATTCTTGTTAGTCGCTCGTGCTAATGAGTGGGTTAAAAGGCACAACCTAAAACAAGAAGAACAGGAAATGTTAACTTGAGGAAATTTTCCAACTAATTAGTTCTTGTCTTTCAGGCTATCTTCTCTGCCAACCTATTACATTCCAAAAGACGGTCCTCTTTCCACATACAGGGTAAGAAATCCTTTGGACAATCCATAAGACAATTCATCGTTAAATTTGATATTTTGTAAGACGTCTGTGTGAAAGATGTTAGGGTTCTCCTCTTTTGGTCCAAATTTGGGATCTAAGATTGGCCACAGAATGGACTATAATGGGGTGGGGGTTCTGAGAGGCTCCCCCCACCCCGCTTTGGGCTCTGAACAAGAGAAGACCTCTGAAATCCCTGCTCTTAACTTTGCCTTTGCCTAGCTCACTTCTTCTGACATGTTATAGCAAGGACTAAGCATCGAGGAGACAGGTCGGTGATCTGTTAGTGCAAAGCATGCGGGTGATCATCGTCAACAGCCAATAAGAAACCATTTTGAATTGATGTTTTACAGGAATACATTAGCATGTTACCAAATGTAGATCATCCTGAGACGTTCGGTCAACATCCTAATGCTGATATCGCCAGTCAGATCATCGAAACCAGGTAAATGTGACAATTACAATGAAGCACTGAGAACATAGCGAGGCGACATCTGCAGTGATCTTTGCCAAACTTTGGGAAAAATCGCCGATGTCGTTTCACTGAAAATACACCTTAGAGTTTAGAGAGTATTAGCTGCGACCTATATTGATATTTGTGATTTTATAGTAAATGCTTTGATTGTGTGATGTCAGTCGCAAATTGTTTATTTTTTTATTTTTTTTTAGTTTTGATTTGTTCTGCCCTCTTTGTTTCTCTTTTTTCCGACCTGGACATTTTTGTGTTCACTAAAGATCGATTCAGTGTAATGTTTATTATTGATCTTTGTCTTATTATTTTGTTTTGTTTTGTGTTTTTTTTTTCAGGAATCTGTTCGGTACGTTACTTTCTCTTCAACCCCAGATCCCTTCTGCTGGAGGACAAGGAGAGAGCAGGGAGGAAAAGGTTGGTAACACTTAAAGAAAAATTGAAGAAGAAAAGTGGGGGAAAATTGAACAGTGCGTTTGGGTTGATTGTCGTTAAACCAAAATCAAATTAATTACAACGGCCAATCAAAGGAAAGGGAAATGTTGAAGAGCCAGTGAGAACTCAAAACAAAAACAACCAAACTGCTTAAAGCGCGGGAAAACGCGGGCGACCAAGTCGTGATTGGTGTTAGTTTTGCATCTGATTGGTTGAGAGAGTGGCGCGAGTTTTCAGAACCAAGTTCAGAGTAAAGTAAAACAAAACCGGATTAATTTCGGCACTCCATCGAAAATTGTTTCCACATGATGTTTGTTCTAGCTGCTGCTTTGGAGCTCGCCACCGTCTGATTTCAGTGTCTCTTTCTTTTGTAGGTTCTGGAACTTGCTGCTGACGTACTGAAAAAAGTTCCTGAGGAGATTGACTATGAGCAGACCGCGAAAATCATGTCCGATGATCCCTCACCTCTCAACGTTGTGTTGCTTCAAGAGGTACGGGCAATAATCCATGCTTATTTACGTTAGAGTTATCCACTCTTTGATATTCTCTGGCTCTAGAAAGGCAAGAGTACTATAATTTGATGTATCTAAGACCTTTCTTAAAATTGCGACTGAAATTAAGATAAAATAAAAAACGCCAAGCCATGAACTGCGTGGTAGTATAAAACCAGCACTAAAGGGTGGCCAGTCCTCGGTTGTTGAAAGCGTGAATTACGCTATCCGCTAGATAAATCTCTATCCAGTACATAGCGCCGTGCATTTTGTGAATATTTGTCTGCTGAATTTCGATTTAGATCGCTTTTCGATTGAGTGTCGTAAAACCAAAGCCAAAATAGTTACAACGGCCGGTCAGAAGGGAAGAAAGTATCCTGAAGAGCCAATGAGAACTAAAGCGCGGGAAAACGCTTTCGACCAAGTCGTGATTTTTTGTTAGTTTTGCATCTGATTGGTTGAGAAAGTGGCGCGATTTTTTGGACCTATCACAATGAAAAGTAAAGCAAAACCCAAACAACTCAGGATGACTTTAGACACTCAATTGAAAATTGCTCTATTCGTTGGATAGCGTTGTCTCCATGTTTAGATGAACGTTGATATCTTCTGTTTTTCTCGGCGCTAGATTGAACGGTTTAACGCCTTGTTGCGAATCATCAAAGCATCGCTTATCGATCTGGAGAAGGGAATAAAGGGTCTTGTGGTCATGTCCTCTGATCTGGAAGAGACATTTTACTGCATCTACGATGCCAAGGTTCCCCCTTTGTGGGGAAAGGTAAGGAAGAAATCCCATGAATAGAGAGTTTTATACAAAGTAAAGAAACGAAATTAAAGCAATTACAGGAAAGAATCCTTAAAAAATGGAGGCTTCGAAGGGATTCGAACCCGTCCCTCCCAGATACTCGTTGGGTTCTTCTATCAACTGAATAACATAGCCAAATGTTGGGAGCAAGGCAAATGTAAGTAGGTTCTTCTCTACCGTAATGGAATTCACAATGAAACTGGTACCTGAGAGGCTTCTCTTCTGAAATTGCTTTAATCGCAGCAACTCTGCGAGGATTATTTATGTGCTTTGTATGTTATCCGCGGGCCAAATATCATCTTTTTCATTTCTGATAGTTTTATTAGTTCGAGTGATGTATTCTAGATAGTTTTGCGTGCACATGACGCACAGAATTACTTCATTTTAAAGGATTTTGATCAGTTGAAAAGCCTTCAAGCGGGTAAGTGTGAGCGTTTGGACGGAAAGATGCTCTACGGGATAATAGCAGGATGTCAAATTTGTTTTTCTTTTTAAAATATCATTGACAGATGTCATCAGTTTTACAAAATACTACTCTGGTTGCAGGATAATGAGATAGAATTTTTAGAAGTTATACATGAACAGGAGCCCATGGAGGAATCATGTCCAATTTTTTTGAGCTTCGTGATGCGACTTCAAAACCAAGAGTTTGGAACAAAATGCTTTAGAAAATTGATTTTCTTTTGTTTTATATAATGTCTAGAATATATTTTTTCGAGATGCAAGCCGGTAAATATTTTGAACATTTTTAACAGGCTTACCCGTCCAACAAACCGCTGGGTAACTGGACACGTGACCTGATGCTGCGTGTGGATCAGTTTGCCAAGTGGGCGACCACAGCTCACCAGCCCGTCATATTCTGGATGTCTGGCTTTACATTCCCCACTGGCTTCTTGACCGCAGTCTTACAGACATGCGCACGACAAAACAACGTGTCCGTGGACTCGCTATCGTGGGAGTTTGTTGTGTCCACAGTGGATGACAGCAACATCACGCAACAGCCCAAGGTACGTTAACAAACTGTGAACGTGTTGATACCTGTTTTAAGCGCTGTGGGTCCGGAAAGATCCAGTCCCCCACTCGCACTCCACCGGACATGTGAGGTTTTTTTATTACTCATCTGACACCATAGTTCTTGCAACTTTAGGGTCGCATATTGTTTCTTAACTAGCGGATTGATAAACGTCACACACTATCACCGACAAAAAGTCCCTTTCCCAGATGATTCCCCAAATGAAAGACGCTAATTCAGCATTAAAAGATAAGGGAACGTATAGTTTTTATGTGAAGTTCACACAGGTTTAGCATTAGATCGAACAGCTCTGCCCAGAGGAAATACCTCTAACCTGCGTACAGGTAACCTTTGAGTTTTATGGAAATCAAAGGCTGAGGAGACGAACTAAAAACTATTATTTGATCCCTTGGTAACTAGTACCCACTTTATTTCTCTCATCAGGCATTTCTGTGGCTACTTCCAGGTTTTTTTTCCCCAAATTTTCAACTTTACGTTCACAATCGATGGGGAAGCACTTTCTGTGTAATCAATGCTTTTGAATCTTCCCTAAATTGTTCTTCTCAACATAGATTACCCGTCGCGCAGCACTATTTCTTAACCATTCCCTCTTTCTTTTACAGGATGGTGTATGGATCCGTGGGCTCTTTTTAGAGGGGGCTGGTTGGGACAAGAAGAATGCGTGCCTCATCGAAGCGGAGCCTATGCAACTCGTTAGCGCCATGCCCACGATTCATTTCAAGCCTGTGGAGAACAAGAAGAAGAGTGGAAAAGGTCTGATATACCCAACTTTCAAATGTGTTTGAGACAAACATGTATCTTAAAACAGGCCAAAAGTATTTTTATTTGATAACTGAAATGTTGCCTTAAGATTTTTTCGCGGTTGGTAGATTAGAGTGTGATAATCTCAATAAAGAGGAAACAATCCTATTAAGCTGGATTTTAACTGTCGCATTTTTCCACGAACATGAACGTGAGTTACAAAAAAACCAATTACGTTCGTTGAAATTAACGTCTACGTGCGTAAACGCATCCCTTGACTAAACGTTTTTATATTTCCCTTTCCATCTTTTTTTCAAGGCGTGTTCGTACGTTTTGCGCACGTCGCAATCGCGAAAGTGCATAGAAAAGTTGAACTGCCTTCAACTTTTATATGCACAGGCCTGGGTTTGTCGCATCTTTAAAAGAAGCGTGGTATTCATATTTACGCGGCAGTGGAAATTGCTCACGCTCGTTTTTACAGCGAATTTGTGTACAACTTTGTTACTTTCCTTTTGCTATTGTAGGTGTCTACGCATGCCCGTGTTATTACTACCCAAACCGAGCGGGAACATCTGGACGTGCATCCTTCGTGGTGGCCGTGGACCTGAAAGCAGGAGCTATGACGTCAGACCACTGGATCAAGCGCGGAACTGCGCTTCTGATGAGCCTTGATTACTGAGCTGCGGTTCTTTGTCAAAGTCACGAACACAGCGTGTGATATAAACATTGAGAAAACGAATTGTGAATAAACCCAAGGAAATAAGCTTTGAGAAGTTACGTAAGACGTTACACCTATAACAAAAAGTGTGGTTTTCCAGTGAAGGTTTAAAACAGTTTCATAATATTACATAAATTTTAATTTGTACCTTTGCTATGACACATCCATGTAGCATTGTCCTGCTCTCGCCATAAAATAATTTAGAGTTGTGAAAAAACAAACAAACAAAACAAAAAAGGAAGATATGTTCTTTAGTAATTGTAAATCTTTTTTTTATGTTAGTTTACCTTTTCCCTCAAAGAGTGAATTTATTTATTAGGTTTAAACCTGCAATAAAAGTATTTTTACACATCATTTCATTCTTTTTGTTGAGTGGTGCATTTTTCTCTATAATTGTCTTTTTTTAGTTGAAAAATTTTTAATTGAGCACATGAAGTGGAGGGCTACTGGTAAAATTTCAAAACCAAATAAATATCAAAAAAAAGGTCAAGAAACTTTTTCCAGTGGTTTGGATAGCATTGCTTCTTGTGTCTGTGTATAGGTTCCTGTTCAAAGAGATGTTAAGGTCTGTAAAAAGAGTTCATGGAAAGAGCTATTTAAAAAGATGGGTTTGTCATTTTGCAATAATCATTTCATCAAGGAGGTTAACCTCTAAGCCAAATCTTAGTCGATTACTCATGTACCATATTTCCTCAAATAAGTGCCTACACTCTAGTAAGCACCCTCCCCCACATAAGCAACCATCCCCTTAGCCCTAGCCCAAGCACCCCTCTCAAATAAATCAACCCCCTCCTCTGTCACTTTCTTTCATAGTAAGAATACTGGAAAATCTGCTTCTATTGCCTCTTTATTTAAAACTTCAAAACCTTCAACTATGGCAGAATCATTACAGTTAATAGTTTCTTAATAAGCTCCTCCCTTTTAATTAAGCACCCTCATTCCGATAAGCACCCCTGAGACCCAAAATTTTAAAAAAGTGTGCAGGGACTTAATTGAGGGTTTATGCTTTATCCCTACCATGAGTTCCATAAGAACAAAAGTAAATTGATGGTCATTTCTGTGATGTCGGCCACCATTTGCAATCATCTCCAGGTGTGCTGACAAGTAGAATTTGTGTTACAATCAAAAACTTCTTTAGTTGGTGATCATTTCTATAATTCTTGCGACCTTGATGTTTGATTCAGGGTGATATTGTAAGGAGAAATTAGTTCTCTTCAGAGTTTGAGCATCGAGATAATGCTCAGTACTAATATCAATAGTGTGTGAATTTTTGTATGGAGAACCAGGATATTTAATGTGGAAATTGGTGTCATTCCAGTGGGGTGGGGTGCTACTTTTCATTGTGCCCTTAAGAGAGTTAATGCTCCATAAATGTATTTACATGCAACAGAACTAAACTGTAAGTGGCAGTGACACAGAATGAAAATATTTTCCTATTGGTATGTAAGCACATGAGTGGCTATGGTGTTGTATCTTTTGTTGTAAGGTGTATATGTTTGATATCTGTAATGTATTCATCTCAGCTTTTGAACTTTTCAAGCTTTACATTTAAATTTCCTCTTGTATTTAATTTAGCCTGTTTTACCTCTAGCCCCTAGAGGTTGGTACTCCTGCATTTGGATGGGGAATAAGTTCCCATTTTCCCAATGGGTCTTTTGGGTTTTCATATCACGTGGCGGCACACAAACTGTTATTATCCCGAAAGATGATTCAGTTGTAACAAGTTGTTTACTGTTCTCTGTACCTTTGTTGGATGGCAAAACAATCAAGCTCCTAGTTTGAGCTGCACACCTACTCTTGTGTATTAGTTGTGAATTAAGATTGAAATGACAAGTCCTAAGGTGAACAAATACTGACAATTGGCAGGCCTAATTCTAGCCAGCAGTGCAGGCATCTTAGTTACAATTACAATTTTACATTTAATTAAAACTTATATAGTGCAACTTTCCATAGCGTATGATCAAATACGCTTGAATTTAGGGCTGTAATCATTTATTCTACTGGCCATTTTCAACTTAGAGTTGGGGGGACCTTGGAGGGAAAAAGTGAAGGGCAAGAGAGCTACTCTATTCTCATTCATCTTGACTGGTCTTCACTACCTGGTTACAAATTCAAATTTTGTTCTCTCCCCAGCCCTCCACTGTTGTTAAAATCAAAGAGGGCAGCAATAGTTTTCACCAAGAAAGTACTGAGTAATTGCTTGCCAAAATTTTTCCTGCTCTGCAGCCTAGCTCAATTGCTATTTGTTTATATCTTAATGCATCAGGATTTCCGGCCTTGACAACATGTCTCAAATCTAATGATTATAGGGTGAATGTAACCACATTAACACTAGGAAATCAAAACAAATTTCTTTTATTTACAAGCATTTTTTTAACACTCAGAATTACATGATACTTGAGAAAGAGATTCAGAACAAACTTATATGTGAAACCATTGAAATATTCCCAGTAACAGATTCAAAGGTACCCATCAACACGGCATGTCTCATAATAATCTTCTACAAAGACTGTAAACAAGAGAAAAAAACAAGATCAACAAGGAAAAAAAATCAATATTTTTGCTTCAAGATCAATAAAGTTTTATACAATGAACTTTTAAATAGTACAGTACATGCTCTAAAACAAGGGTTTGTTTATGATATATCAATACATGCACAATGCTTATATCCTATAAAAATAGTATTGTTTAACTTTTTTTGTTTACAATTTTGTAAACACTTGAGCCTTTTTACGTTTAAGCGAGGGAAGGACTCAAAAAAAGTAAATTGAGCAATAGCATTTTGTTGGTCAAAATTTACCAAATCGAGACAACTAGTGTTTTTAATGATTTGAAACATGCCTTTTAAATCTTCAAACTGTCAAGTGCTCTACAGCAACTTTGAAATTATTCTCTTGTTTGACCACCAAGACCTGATACATATGTCTCCCAACAGCTGTTATTATTTTTTTTATTTTCATCAAGTCAGTTGTTAAGAAAATATAAAGTTATATTATAATAGAAATGCCCTTGGAAAGATTTCCCTGTAATCTGGTACTGTACTATCTAAAACAAAGCTGTAATTCCAAAGTTAATAGATTGTTTTTGCAATTGTTTTCTTTATCAAAGAACTGTAAGCTTGATGAAGTATGGGGCTGTGTGGAGATCTTACCATACCCTCTGGTTGTTGAAGGGGGTAAGTTTCTACAGAAAAAGTGGTGCTGTGTTGGTGGGGGAATTACGAGATACTTTGATTTTATCAACTGAGTTGATAATGTAAATTGGCCACTGTTAGGAGTTTCTAAAACTGACGTTTTGATTAAGCCCTTTGTACGAGCAAATACACAAAGATATAATACTCAACACCTCTAGATGTTGCAAGAAGAGGGTACGTGCCAATCTTTTAGTGGTAGTCAAGTGTTACACAAAGCGACCATAAAGGTGTCCTGCCCTATCCACCTCCCTCCTCCCTGTATTGGCAAAATGGGTAGTGGGAGGGGTTACTTGAAATCGGTTGTCACCTTTTGTCTGAATCTTGAGCCAGTGATCCTTTCATCTCGTGCGAGCAGTCTTTCATCAAACTTGTCCAAGCTGTATCTACTGGGCTGCAAAGTACATTTAAAACAATTCTTCCCTTTATCCTTTAAATGACTTGTTAAAAACATCCCCATCAATCCTTTGATCATCCAAGCCACAAAGGTAAACCGGCCAAATATGCATGCAAATTCAAGTTCAAATATTCAAGACTTTATTGTTTATGAATACCTTGCCCTCTTGGAAGAGTCGATCACAGATCTTCAGTCCCCAGCCAGTTACAGCTATACAAGCTCCAATAATAACAAACGGAGGTAAGCATTCATACCACATGTCGAAAGCTAGAGAGAGAATTTCGCACGGTCGAGTCCAACACAACAAAATTCAAAATGGCCGACTAAATGATGTACGTCATAGGTCAGTGGAACTCATCGCGGTCACATCACTGGTTACTAGTTTTACTCCATCAGCCTTTTCAAGGAGGGAAAGAAAGTGGGGTGCAATCATGTCATTCTTCACGTTACTTCCTGGCCCCACTGTTGCGCAGTTAACCAACGGTCTCTTGGTTAACCTGGTGGTATAATGCTGCTCAGCCTTTTGCTTGATGGCGACTTTTAGATTTCCCTCTATCGTTACAATGACAGCGTTGGCGAGATTGATGGGGAATACTGCACGAAGTTGTCTTCCAAAAAACGCATGTAGTATTTCTACGACTCGCGTGTTTATGGATCTTGTTGGAATAACTAGGCCTCCGGTAAACATGCAGTGCGCCAGAAGGAACACTTCTACTACGACTCTAGAGCACTGGACTGATATAAGTATCAAAGAGCTTAGAGCAATGCTAACAGCGCATAATATTCAGTTGTTTGATGTCAGAGAACCCCATGAGCTGGTGGAGTCAGGGAAGATTGCTTGTGCTACAAACATCCCACGTACGTTTTTTTCGTTTCCGTCATAATTTTTCTTCATGTTGAAATGAATACTAATAACTAATAAAAGGTAGCTCTAAAGGTTAGGAAACTATTACTGATTGGTTATTTGCAGAATAATCCGATAAGGGTCAACGAGTTTCTGAATATTATTCTCAGGGGAAAAAACTATTACACCGGCCTGTTGAGTACTGACTTACTTCAATGTACAACCACTCACTTCTCAGTGGCAATAATGGCCTTGTGCCAAGTTTTTTCTCAAATACCTTCACCACATGATTTCACAAAATCAGCCAATCATGATGTCAACAGATGTGAATCTTGACATTGTAAACTGATGGGGCCACTCTTGCATACTTTTCTTGTGGTTGTTCTTTGGAGTAAGGTTCTAGTTTTTGGGCTGTCTTTTATAGCAAATGTGTTACTTGTTTGTTTTAAAGAGTTTAAGGAATTTAAGGAGTCCTGAAATCTTTTTGTAAGCCAAATATTGTTGTTAGATTTGAAAGGCTTTATTACATTATTTTAACATAGTTGGATTCTAGCCTCCTTTTCTGTAAAGGGATATTTTACATGGATGACCAATTCCTTATTCCTAGTGGAAATCTTTGAGCTAACAGACCCTAACTTGGCATACTTGCTAAAGAGTGAATTGATGAAAATAAATTAAAAAAAAAAAACAGTCACAAGTCCATGTGGTTATTATTATTTATTTTCAATTTTCAGAGCCTCTCACTACCATAATTGCTTTAAAAGTTTAAAATTATCGCATTTTTCAGTGCGTAAAGTTCCTGAGGCCTTTACAATGGATCCTAAAGCATTTGAGGAGGAATACAATGTTAAAAAGCCAGACAAAAATGATGCAAATATTGTGTTTCATTGCCTGGCTGGAATAAGGAGTAGAGCAGCAATGGAGGCAGTTCATCAAATTGGCTACACTAAGTAAGATCACCTGCAACTGACTCGCATAATTTGATCCTGTGTCTTTTAACTCTTTACATGCTAAAATTGATATTTATATTCTCCACTCTGTTCTCTTTACATTTCCTACAATATTGGCAAGGAGAACTTGTTTCCTTATCAGGAACTTTTTTTGTTGGTGATCATTTTTTTTTCTTCTCATGGCCTTAACCCTTTAAACCTTAACAACAGTATGTGTATTCTCCATACTGTTCTCTATACATTCACTAAAGTGCTGACAAGGAGAATTTGTTTGACAATCAAGAGCTTCTTTAGTTGGTGATCATTTCCTTTATTTTCATGACCTTAATGTTAGATTTAAGGGTGATATTGCTGGGAGAAATTGGATGCTAGTCACTCTCAGGGGTGAAAGGTTTTTATGTTTGATTCAGGGGTGATATATTAATACTGTTATGCTTTACATTTACTCTATGTTCTCTTAACCCTTTAACTCCCATGAATGAGTGACCAAGACAGAATTTCTCCTTACAGTATCAATACAGAATCAACCAGATAAGTGATGAGAACAACTTTAGGAAATTATCAATTTGGGGATAATTAGTTGATCCAATACTAAATTCTCTGAACTTACATTATAAGAATTGTATAGTTGATGATAAGGAGAATTGCAAATTTGATCTGGGAGTTAAAAGGATTAAATGCTTTTTTTGCCCATACAATGTGAATATCTAGATTAGGCACAGAGAGTTTTGGTAAGTTATATGATTTTAGATGAACTATAGGATATGAAAGTTTTTTTTCTTTTCTTCTCAGGGCAAGACATTACCCAGGAGGCTACATGGAGTGGATATCACAAGTTGATAACTCAGAAAAATCCAATGGTTGAACTTGGAAGAATAATTTCTGTTTGTTTGATTTATTTAGTACTGGTTTCTGATTGACCTTAGCGTGAGTGAATAAAAACCTTCTGACAATTTATTCTTATTAAAAGCATCAGTTGGTTGTTATATTACCCATTATTTAAGGTAAATTTAGTAGAGGAAATTAGGTAGCTTTTGTTTGTAACAAGGGCTGTAAGCAAGGAAAAAAATATGAACAAGGGAAAGTATTCCAAATTTGTTCTTCACTTCTCAAGATAAGTTACTGTGACCTTGACCTTTTTTTTTTTTTTTTGTAAAAAATGTTTGAAGTAATGATGAAAATGTGAAAGCCACAAGCCAGATGTAATGGTATAAACAACTTTAAATTTCAGATTTTCAACAATTTAGCAGTTTTACTAGTGTTTATTTATTGTGTTTACAAACCGTTAAAAAAAAAGGAATTTCCGTTTCGAAAACTGGATATGCGTCAGCATTCTCTGAGAGGCATGCCAATAATCATCACCGTGTGCCAAACTGTGACATGATGGTGTGACAGTCGTAACATAACACACGTTTACGATTGCGTTACCCGTCATATGCATCGATTAAAACCGTGCAGAGATTTCTCTTTTTTTATGCTACAGAGATGGAAAAAATAGATTTCTTTTGTCTTAGAAGAATTTCAAGAAGCAATAAATTTAGGGCTAATATGCATGCTTTTGTGCGTAGAAATATCTCAAGTGTCTCAGCTGGTGACGTCATGCTATAATGATGCAAATCTTTCGCTAAATGTCACAACCGTGGAGTATTATAAATAAAGTTTGACACTTTGGAAAGCATACATTTTGCAGTTTCCAGCAAGAGAAGCAAAACAATTCACGATGGCATCGCGTTCAGTTGGAAGATTAACAAAGTCAATATTTTCAAAAAGCGTTTTACCTCGCGCTGTTTTGGGCCAGAGACTTTCCTTCAACTCAAGCGCGTCGCCAAGAGATCGTATATGGTCTTGTAGTAAAGAAACTGATCGAAGCCAAATTGGCTTGGAGTGTTTAAAAGATATGGTAATCGATGGAGATTTACAACTTTTTGACGTACGAGAACCTCACGAACTTGTTTCACTTGGGAAAATACCGAAGTCTGTTAATATTCCATGTAAGTTGTAAATAACGTAACATGCCTATTTTTTTCTCTTCGGGGCCGCAAAAGTTGTATTATTTTTCTTGTTGATTTCCTCCAAGTTAAAGAAATATCGGCGTATTCTCTACTCAAATAAGAATTAGACTTAAGGCTCTGAAAAGTAAGCTTTTTTCTTCGTAAAGAAACAACTTCCAAATAATGTTGTACTTATTCCCTTCAGTCTCTAATTGTTTTTCAATCGATTTCACACCGCCATGTATTATTCACAATGACTGTAATTTGACTTTCAGTGACAGAAATTGTCGAGGCCTTTAGCATGAGTCCATCAGATTTCGAGAAAAAATACGGTGTCAGAAAACCAGATGTTAAAGACGAAAATCTCATCTTCCATTGTCAAACTGGTCGGCGAGCAGGGAAGGCCGTGGAAAGTGTCAAAGGACTGGGGTTTGAAAAGTACGTTCGTTGTGGAATAACTTAAGAATAAGTGTATGTATACCTGCGACCTATACAGGTGCACCTGGCTAAAGCAGTTACTCATGGTAACCTGGGTCAGAGTGGGCTAAAAGGAAGATTTCATCATTTCCTTTTACCCTCCACTCCAATCCGCTCTTCTATCGTCCACTCTAGACTCCCTAGGTAACCCTTCCGTCAGCGGAAATTTTTCTCTGCAAAGCGCTAGATCTGTCAGAACACGCAGCTGTCACGCGATCGCTAATGGAAGTTGTCACGAAATAGCCTACGCTATCCCTACATTCCTCCCAAAGGAGAAATGTTTCTCCTTGGAGGGGAAGGGTAGGACTACACGTAAAGTATCACGAAACAGTGCATTTTTATTGTTGTCTCTTAACTATCCTATATATTTCTGCATATGACCTCAGTTATTGTCGTTTTTTAGGGCCAGTCGTCTGGTTGGAGGATGGTCTGAACTGGACTTCCATATCAAAAGGAAGCCTCACAGTACCCCGCGCGAAATCACATTCGAACGTTGATGACAGATGTGCAGTTCGAACAAATAAATATCCCCACTGGGGAAGGAACTGAATTGTCGCCCTCAAACCAGCGATGTTTTATATTTATAATCTAATTTAAACGTCGTTTAAATCTGTCTTGTAATATTTAGTCATCTTTAGTTGATAAATTCATTTTCACTTCTAATATTTTAACTTGTGACCAATACGCATTTAATGTATGGTCCCTAGGGAAACAGTTAGGAGTCCTGATGTTTCCCGAGACGAAGTCCAGGGAGACATCAGGACTCGAGGGAAAACAACATTAGCTAGTTTCCCGAAGGACTATACATAAAGCACTTTGTTATATATTTAGACTTTCCCTTAAACAATCATATGGCAAAGATATGCTGTTATATTCGACGCGTGGGCAACAACTGCGCATATTGTATCCCGGTCGGGATACATTTGAATTTGATCAGGGGCACATGAACAAGAATTAACCAATCACAGTGCTCGTTTTGTTGAGTGAAAGTCTAGGTATATAAAAATGATCTATATTTCATATTTCACTGATGAAAAAAAGAAGTGTCCTATTTTTTTTAACTTATCATGAGCTTATTGTACTGAAAATATTTTATTTATTGTTATTGTTATTTCCCAAATTTTGTCTGCAAATTGTAATATATTTTTTAATGGATTTGTTGCTGTAAATAACTCTGTTATCTAAATTAGTAATGTCATTTGCCGAACTCTATGGAACCCCAGGTAGAGCTCATTATGTGAGAGAAAGTCACATAACTCCGGGAAAAGTGGCCAGGCAATTGAGTTAGTTCACCTGGGTCTCTAGATGATGACATATTTTGAGTTTTTTTTTTTTTTTAGTATTATATTACATTGTTTCAATTTTTAACGGATTGGTTGCCAAGTGTATTGTAAACTGCTTCATTAATTTATTATTTATTATTTGCAATTTTTAAAAACACCATGATATTATTTAAATTATTTTAGCATTTATATTCATGTAAAATAATTTCATAGTTTTCAAAAGTGCAACACCAAGGTTGATAACTACCTTACTGGTACACAATCATGTGTTTGACCTTTTGATTGAAATGCTGCTGAACAATTTGCACAGTCTGCAGTTCCAACAAGGCTATATTTTATAAAAGAGTATTACAGAAACATTGCATCATCACACTTGTTGAACTATCATATTTTTTTTTTGGTATAATTTGTAATTTAGATGTAAGAAAAAAAAAATGATTTGTAAGTACTGGTAATTCACTCAATAAATCAGAATGTAGGGAAAGAAAAGATGATGAATTTTCTGGATGAATACACCTATAAGCTCTGTTCAGACCGAGACTTTTGGATAGTTGATCCTTTGAGACCCTTATGTCATGCTATTACTCCAGAGTCCGCACAATTTTCATTATGATACTGCCAAGGTGTGATGGTTAAGAAACTGGACTCTGGTCAAGATTAGGACCCTGGCCAGGTTTAATATGGAGTCAGATTTAACAGATACAATTCTCAATAATATGTTAATGGGGATGTGCCACTGAATGCAGTGCATTTCTATGACTGAGTAGACTAGAATGGGGTTACACACTTTGGAGATTTGCAGGGGTAAGAAAACTCTGATAATGGAACAATTCATGTTTAAAAAATTGTTACCATTGGGAGCATGAAATATTACATGTGCCAAAAAGTGACTGAAATGAGGTCCATGATTGGCCACAAAATGGACTATAATCCATGGGTTAGAGGCTCTGAGAGGCCAAAAGCAGATAGTCAGTAAAATTTAACTAAGAAACCTGAAACCCCCCTCCCTCTCTCCTCCAGGAAATGGGTACAGGAAACCAGACAAAGATATAACAAAAGACATAGACCTCCCACAAGTGACCAAGATGGAATTTCTCCCTGCAATATCAGCACAACATCAGGCAGACGAGTGATGAGAATAAAGAGTATATTAAAATATTATCAATTCAACACCAAATTCTCAAAGCTGTCATCATAGGGATTGAATAGCAGACAGAAAAGAGAATTACAAATAAGATAGTGAGTAGTGTGAAAGGGTTAATTAAGTGAGCAGTGATAAATTACCATCCCAACACCCTTAGATGCTTCAGTAAAAACACAGGAACAAGATCTAGGAATGAGACAAGATAACTTGGTTTAATTAACTTAGTTGATAATTCAATTGGCCTGTGGAGAATTTTTAAAGTTGACATTTTGAGTGTTAGCCCATTGTAAGAGCAGACCTAAATGTCACCTTTCCACAGCCAATATACTAGAACAAAAGATAACCATGCACATCTATTGCCAACACTCAAAAGTAACTGCACCTTACTTACCTTTACCTCTTTAGGACACAGGATCTAAAGAGGTCTTGACAAAAAAGTCAAACAAAAATTGAAGTATGATCACACTTCCTGCAGGAGAGTATTTTTGCAGTTTTTATTTCATACTGAACCACTAATTCTAACATTATGTAAAATATGGTTCTTGGAAACAAATTTTGTACCAATCCTTTCAAAAATTGTTTCTCCTGGTGTCCTAAGATAACAATAGTCCTTTGTACAGTTGTGTGCTTGGTTGCCAAGCCTTTGAATAGGAATGAGTCTGAGGTTGACCTTGCTATGACACAGAATTTGCTGCTTTTCAAGTACAAATTACTTTGTTATCAATGCTGGCCTCCACTATAGCAAGGTCAGCCTCACTCCAAATCAAAGGCTTGGAAATTAAGTACGCAACTGTAAAATGGCCCATTGGTGATGATGCACTCGTTGCATAATAAGATTAAGTAAATGTTCTTCCAACCTTTGGGACCTTTGGGAATATTTCTCCACAAGAACCCAATTGCATTTTCAATTTCTGGGTGCTACCATTGTAGCTATTTAGTGATCTACCTTAACCCACCTAGGCAAATGAGAGGCCAAGTTATAATCTGGAACATCTAAATTAATAGAAGAAAATCAAAACCTCACTCCTACCCAATCCCCTTCATCTTCAACTGAGACAACTGATAAATTTACGTCAATCTTTTTCTCGCCATATTATTCAGTATCTCGATTTGTGCCGTCATCTGTAAGACATTCTAATTCTTTGCAGATTGCCACGCCAAGACACGAATTTGTTACATAAGCGCTTTGTGCGAAGCTACTTGCCAATCACAATTAAGAGCACGTGTCCTTTGAAGGCCTCTCGTGATCCACCAGACTTAATATTATAAAATGATTTAGAGTTGATGTCGAAGAGGACAGCTGTCGGTAGATCGAATGTTCAGTGTCGTGTTTACTAGTTGCAAACCGGTAGTTTAAGAGTCCCTCATTTAAGTCTGACAGGTTGATCAAAGGGGGGTTGGTAGCAATCAAAACAGCGCCTTTTCAGATCGGACTGTAACGTTGCGTACAAGAGAAACCCTACAGATTATATTAAAGTTAGATAGGTTACAGAACAGAATACCAAGAGGGCGAGGATTTGGATCGGGTTACGAAATAAACTAGTCTCAAATACGGATCAGGTCAATCCTCAAGATTGAGTGTAGGATATAAAGGGCGATGGGTAATTTTCAGTTTTCTATTCACTTTTTAGATGCGAAAAAAAGATAACATCACACAATCACTAAAGTACACACAAAACCGTCGCAAATAACCACTTCTTAAGCCTCAGCGATGACATAATAAAACAAGGAAAAAAATCACATTTATCATAACACAATGAAAAGAAGAGAAGAAAACCTCGAAAAAAGGAGAACCTTTCCTTGTAAATGTTCGATCGAAACCACGCTTTTCGAACAAAAGATATTTATGGAACCTTATCGCACAGGAGGATTATGGTATATCCGAGGTCACGTGGTCTCGACACATCGTGGAGGCGCTTGAGCTGCGCCCCGAAGCAGCTCTTAGTAAGGGCGCCATAATGGATAGGGAAAAAGTACCCCTTCGTTCTCGTAAACGAAGCAAGTTTCGATTCATTTAAGCCCATAAATCCACGTATAAGGGTGGTATCGGGAACATGGTGATATTTGTTTTCGTTGTCGATACCTCTGCGTCTATGAACCAGCGAACGTCTATTGGCACTACGTTGCTTGACGTCGCCAAAAATGCCGTGGAAACCTTCACAAAGGTAATTTATTTGCCCTCTGTTCAGTCTGAAGGCTTAGAACAAAAGTTTTTTTATTAATCTGACTGGTAAAATTTGTCTCATTCAGCTTCGGCAACGAGATCAAGCGAGTAGAACTGATCGATATATGTTGGTGACGTTGGAGGAGCCGCCAGGAGCAATAAAGGTATGGCCCTATCGTGAGCTGCTATGAAGCTCCTATCTGCCGAGATTGTTCCATAATACTCTACCTTGGGAAGTCCGGTCACTGTCAGAAAATCGCCCATAAAAGAAAAATTATCTGTGGCAAAGTGCATTTCTAGCCTTAAAAGTTTGTTGTTGTTAATTTTCAAGAATTTTGTTGTCTTTTAAGACTTTGTTTAGTCACGTTTACAACCCGAAAGGAACCATGGGTATTGTTTTGAAATAATCGTTTTAAAATCCTAAACCCGCTGCTGACAGTCACTTTTGTAACTATCTGTCTTGCTATCATTTTACTATAATGAAATAAAATTTTTCTTGTAGATTATGAAGGATTCATCATAATCATTGTTATTTTGTAACACAGCTTCTTTCATGGGAGGGGAGGGGATAAAATTGTCCTTCTTTTTGGCTAATCCAGGAATATTTTACCTAGTCTGAGTGGAGTTTTTGCATTTCAAAATGAGATTTTTTGTTCTTTTATGCTTTGCCAAAATATAATACAGAGTACAATGAATCAATGTTGAAATATATTTTAGCATGTTTACTCTTATTGTTATGTCTATAATCTTTGAGCTTAGCAACCTGCACAACATACTAGTTTTTGTTGAAATGCATTGACGATTTTATGTATGAATAATTAACCCTTAAACCTCTAAGAGTGACAAGGATATAATTTCTCCCCAGAATATCACCCCTGAATCTCAAATACAGGTCACTAGAATAAAGGAAATGATCACCGACTAGAGAAGCTCTTGATTATTAAAATTATTTCTCATAGTTGGTACCCTAGGAAATGTATAGAAAATAATATCAAGATCGTACAAACTTGTGTTAGAGTGATAAGAACCTTTGTGGATTTCAACTTTGATTTCCTTCTACCAGGCTGGTTGGCGAGAAAACCAAGTCACATTTATGAATGAATTGAGGAATCTTCAAGCAAATGGTCTGTCAACTCTAGGAACTGCCTTGAAAGAAGCATTTGATCTTTTGAACTTGTACCGTCTCCATTCAGGGATTGATAACTATGGAATGGTAAGATGAACTAAAATTTGGTAAAAAAGGTTTTTGAAATATACTACAACCTTCTGATACACTGAATAAACTTTTCTCTTTCAGGGTCGAAATCCATTTTTTGTAGAGCCAGCTATGGTTGTTTGTATTACAGATGGAAGTAAACTTTCTTCTCAAAGTGGTGTTCAGGAAGAGGTACTGAAATTGTTTTTCTGGGGTCAATTTCAAGCAAATGTGGTTGTATTGAAGTGGATAATTGATCAAGTTGCTGGTTTACTGGCTTGTTGTATAGCTGAGTCACTGTTTAATTGGTGTATTGATGTCATCAACTAGCTGAGTGATTGGCATACTGACCAATTTGTAAACTGATTGATTTATAATGTAACAGTAGAACCCCGCTAACTTAAGCTGTGAATAGAAATGAAAAATGGCTCAAGTTGATTGGAGTTTGAGTTATCGAGATTGGTGTTGAATTTTAAATTTCCCTTTAATAATTGATAAACAACATTGTTTTTTTGTGCAATCAGCAGGCCTTTTCATACCTTGAGGTTTTTTTGTGAAAGTGTTTTTGTAAGATTGTTTATTTTGGGAAGTTAAGTTAAATGCACTACATTATCACTTTCATATTAATTGAGTTCTGATACATTTATCAACCAAAGCTTTTGGTCAAATTTCAAGTTAACCCGTTAAGTCCCATTAGTGACCTAGACAGAATTTCTCCTTACATTATCAGTACAATATCAAGCAGACAGGTAATGAGAATAAAGAAAAATATCAATTAGGGGATTATTTGTTGATTCAATTCCAAATTCTCCAAACTAACATCACATAAATTGCATGGCAGACAGTAAGGAGAATTACTCATGAAATATTGGGAGTTGAAGGGTTAACAGTGTACATATGAGCCTAGGGAAAGTAAAATTAGCTTGAGTTAACAGGGATTCTGAATTAACCAAGTTTGTGTTAGCTGATAATAAATGACTCAAAAATACAAGGTCAAATCCAAGGGAAATTGCACTTTGTGCAAGGTAGTGG